GCCCCCTTGGGTGCTGCTTGGGATGTCTTGGGGCCATTTTGGAGGCTGCTTGGGCCGTCATGGGTCTTTGAGAGCCGGGAAAGGCGAGGGCGCTAAAATCCTTCAAACACTGAAGGCAAATCGGTTTTTGGCCTTTGGAGGCGCTCTTGTGGGCGTTCTTGGGTCCCTCCTGGGCCATCTTGGGGGCTTTTTGAGCCTTCTTGGGGCCATCTTGGGCCGTCTTGGGGCCGTATTGCCCCGTCTTGAGACCACTTTGAGCCGTCTCCACGCCCTCTTGGACCCCCAAGAGGCCCAAGGAGTCCAAATCATCGATTTCCCAAAGGTTTTGGTGGGTTTTGAGGCCCCGAAGGGGCCCTCCACCTTTGGGTCGACGGAAGTGGCGCGACTCCGGGAGGGGGGGTGGGGGGGGGGGGATACATAATAATGTAAGACAATGCAACATGTGGCAATCATGCAATCATTGGATACATTGGATACGTTGCATCGCCACTTCTGGACGTGGATTCCTTTCGCTTCGCGGGGTGCACGTCCGGAGCACGCGCAGTCACGTCGTCGCGGGGCCTCTTGGGAGCCTCTTGGGGGCCTCCTTGAGGCCTCTTGGGAGCTTATTTGGGCCTCTTGGGGGCTTCTTTGGGGCCTCTTCCCCCTCCCTCGTTTTCATGCTCCCTCCCCATGTCCCCTTCCAGCGCCAGCTCTAATCATGCGCGCCGCCGTGACCAACTTCCACCTGGCTGGCGCTGCGCCGTCGTTCGCCCATGGGGGGGAAATAACATTACGCTCCAGTCGTTGTGTGGCCTTGTGGGGGTTCTTTGAGGCCTCTTGGAGGCTTTTTGGGGGATTAATTGCAGGCCTCTAGGTTTTTTGTTGGGAGTTCCTTGGGGGCCTCTTGGGGGCCTCTCGGGGCTTCTTGGGGGCATGTTGGGCCGTCTTGGGGCGTTTTTGCGCCGTTCCGCTCCTTCGGAGGCCGTCTTGGGGGCCTCTCGCGGCCGCCTTGGGGTTCTCTTGGGGTCCTCTTGGGCCGCTTCAGTTTTTTTTTTGGATCGCCTTGGGGGCCTCTTTGAGCCGTCTTGGGGCCCTCCTGGGCCGTTTGGGGCCTTCTTTGGGGCCTCTGGGGGCCTCTTGGGGACGTCTTGGAGCCGCCTTTGGGCGCTCTTACGCCGTCTGGCCACTTCGGAGGCCACTTTGGAAGCATCTGGCGGCCGCCTTTGGGGCTCTCTTGGGGTCCTCTGGGGCCGTCTTGGGGGGTTCTTGCGCCGTCTTGGAGGTTTTTTTGGCCGTTTCGGGGCCCTCTGGGGCCGGCCTGGGGCCCCCTTGGAGGCCTCTTGGGCCGTTTGGGGGCCTTTTTGGAGACTGCTTGGGCCGTCATGGCTTTCTGAGAGCCGAAAAAGGCGAGACCGTTGAAATTGTCCCAAAGCCATAGGAAAATCAATGATGTTGGCCTCTGGAGGCGCTCTCGGGAGTCTTCTTGGGGGCCTGTTGGACCTTTTTGGGGGCCTCATGGGCCCTCTTGGGCCCTCTTGGGCCGTCTTGAGGCCGGCTTGGGTTGTCTTCGGGCCATCTTGGGCCGTCTTGAAACCTTATTGGGGCCCCAAGAGGCCCAAGAGGCCGAATTTGTTGATTTATTATAAGTTTTCTTATGTTTTTGGGCTTCAAAAGGGGCCCTCCACCTTGGGGTCGACGGAAGTGGCGCGACTCCGGGGGAGGTCAGAGGGGGAGACATAATAATGTAACACAATACAACACGTGGCAATTATGCAAGCGTTGGACACACGGGATCCATTGCATTAGGGCTTCCGCTCCGCTGCGCGACCTGCCTCCGGCAACACGTCACTTCCGGACGTGGATCTACAGGCTTACGCCACATCCGCCGACCCCTTTTATGAGCGTTGCGAGGCCAGGAGTTTGTGGCCAGCGGCGTCTTGTGTGAGGGTGCGGTGTCGCGCGCGGGAGGTGGCAGATACGTAGGGGGTCCCAATGTTTGCGTGATGCCAGTGGTCTGGGGCGTGTTTTGCGAGCGCCCTGCGTGCTGTGCACCTGGGTGCGAGGTGTCCTTCTGGGAGGTCGGCCTTTCGACCCGCAACCAAGTGGAGGACCACCAGAAGACGAAAGGAGCAAGAGTGGTGTGCGGAAGCTGTGATCAGCGAGGCATCGCCGTGAAAAATGTGGCAGGTGAATCGAAACGGGTGAAGAGGTTGTTGACGTTCGCAGCGCGCACGAAACAGTTCGCGCGGCAGCAGCACATTAACGCCGAGCAAGATAGTGAGCACTTCACGAGGAAGAGTAAGGCTGTATGCGCGGAGTGCATTGCAGTTGGCTTCGCGGCTCGCAATACGGAGGCGTCTGGTTTTTTTTGGGGGGGCCTCCTGGGGGCCTCTTGGGGGCTACTTGGGGCGTCTTGTCGGCCTCCTGGGGGCCTCTGGCGGCCTCTTGGGGCACTTTTGGGGCCCCATGGTGCTCGTGGGGGTGGAAAGCTAGATTTTGAATTTTTGGTTGCCCTCTTGGGCCCCTCCTGGTGCCGTTTTGTAGCTATCTTGGGCCGTATTGGTGACCTCTTGGGCCGTCTTGGGGCCATCTTGGGCCGTCGTGGGGCCGTCTTGGGGGCCTCTTGGGCCGTCTTGGGGCGGTCTTCGGGGCCTCTTGGGCCGTCTTGGAGCGTCGGAAAGCCTACAAGGCGAATTTGTAAAAATATATACGTGGTATGAAGGAAATGGGCAATTTTTAGCGTCTAGGGACCCTCTTGGGGCGTATCTTGGAGGCCTCCTGGGGGCGTATTGGGCCATCTGGAGGCCATCTCGGGTGTCTTTGATCGCTCTTGGCTCGTCTGGGATCAGGTTGAGCTCTCTTGGAAGCATTTGGAACGCTCCTGGAACGCACTTGGGGCCGTCTTCGGTGCCTCTTGAGCCGTCTTGGGGCCCTCTTGGGCTGTCTTGGGGCCCTCTTGGAGGCTTCTTGGACCGTCTTGGGGCGGTCTTGGGGGCTTCTTGGGCCGCCTGGGAGCGTCGGAGAGCCCAAAAGGCGAATTTGTGAAACATGTACTGGCGGTCCGTCCTCGGAGGATTACCCGTCGCTCAGCGGCAGCGGCAGCGCTGGCCAGGGCTGTCAGGCAAGGAGCGCCCACGGGCCTGGGCAGTGGTGGCAGTGTAGCAGTGCAGGCTGAGGATCGTGGGCCTCCATCCCCCCTCCTTTGATACGCGTCGTTCCTTTTCCTCCTCCTCCTCCTCCTCCTCCTTCTCCCCCTTTTCCTCCTCCTTCGCCTCAACCTTCTCCTCCTCTTCCTCCTCCTCTTGCTCCTCCTCCTATTTATCCTCTCCTTCTCCGCCCCTTCTCCCCATGACAACTCCTCCCTGTCGCGCCTCAAATCCGGTCGGAAAAGGCGGGCCGAGCGTTTCGTTTTGATATTTTTTTGCTGCTGATGGTATTGGAGCCTTGACCACGGCAACACTTTCACATATGGAGGGCTGTGAGCTTCCAACATGTGGCTCTCGCCTTCGCTCCGCGCGCAGTGGTTTTAAATCGTTGCAGGAACTCCGCGGGTTCATGGCGGGTCGTCTTCACAATGTCGTTCTCGCCTGAGCGCCGCGCGCGTTATTCCTCAACATGTGCAAGGATTTCGCGGATTGAGAGCGGCCTTTTTTTATACTGGTCTTCGTCTGAACGCCGCGCACATTCGTTTCACAAATGATAAGGGTGTCACATATACGCATGGCCCGCGAACTAGACAAAACCATGTATTTGGGAATGACTCAGGATTGATCCGGCGCGACCTTTACGTTGATCCGTGTGTTGGAGACCCAGAAATGGTGTCTGACACGAATCAGGATCGACAAAACGCAAACATCAAGTTGATTCGTGGCGTTGGAGTCCCGCGAAAGGTGTTTTGGCACGCGTCAGGATCTTCAAACGGATGTCTCCAAACGGGGCATTTCCCACAGTGGAAATGAGTCCTTGCAGGGGCTTGTGAAGAGGGGGCTTGGAGGGAGGGTTTATTCCGACATTGTTGATGAGTCTTGGGTTTGCAGTGGTCCTTGGTTGCACTCCTCCTCCCCATACCGTTCCTTCCCATTCTCCTCCTCCTCCTCCTTTTCTTTCCCCTTCCTCCTTCCTGTGCTTCCTGGACCAGGAGGAGGCCCCTGTGCTTCCTCCTTCCTGTGCTTCCTGTGGGGGCCCCTAAGCCTCGACTGGAGGTCCCCTAACCAGGTGGTGAGATCTCAGGTGGTGACCTCCTCCTCTTCTTCCTCCTCCTCCTCCTCCCCCTCCTCCTCTTCCTCCTCCTCCTCCTCCTCCTCGTCCTCCTCCTCCTCCTCCCTCTCCCCCTCCTTCTCCTCGTCCTCCTCCTCCCCTCCTCCTCCTCCTCCTCTTCCCCCCCCCCCTACTTCTCCTCCTCCTCCTCCTCCTCCTCCTCCTCCTCCTCCTCCTCCTCCTCCTCCTCCTCCTCCTCCTCCCCGTGTCCACCGATAAGTCTTCCCCACCCTCAACAGAAACCAGGACAGGCCCTCAGGACAATCCAGTATAGTCAACGTGGCAAGACATGGCCAAGATAATGTGATATATATATATATAGAGAGAGAGAGAGAGAGAGAGAGAGAGAGAGAGAGAGAGAGAGAGATAGAAAGAGTGAGAGATAACCATGATGAGGAAGTCGGCAAACAACTCCTGAGTCCCCACCACCGTCCTCACCACATCCCGCACGGCTGTCCCGAGCGCCACTGTCCCCACCACCAATGTCCCCACTTTTCCCACCAACGTCCCCACCGACCCCACAAGTGCCCAGGAGATTTCGGAGATTTCGGTCCGGGCCAGGTCACTATTTGACACTTTAGAAATGGGGACTGAGGCTCAGGGGATTGGGCAAAGGACCTGATCACGCGCCCACTCCGTGCAGGAGGGGGAGGAGGAGGAGGAGGAGGAGGAGGAGGAGGAGGAGGAGGAGGAGGAGGAGGAGCTCAGAGCTGCGGGCGGCGGAAGGATCTAGACTGCTTTTTTGTTGCGGAGGGGTAGGGGGCGGTTTCCAGTGGTTTGGGGAAACCACAGGGAGCCTCCAGAGATCTGTGCGAGGCGTTCTGCGATCCCCGGAGCCTCGGGGAGGGCCTGCGCCAGGCGTGACGATCGAACAACACGCACCCATACCCATAGGGGGGACGGAGGAGGGCTATGGGGTGCGTGTTGTCGGATGGGGGCCCCCGCTCGAACGGGAGCCCCCCCCAGGGTCCGACGACTCGCACCCATACCCATAGCCAGTTCCCCTCCTTTCGACCCTCCCATGGATATGGGCGTGAGTTGTTCGCTCGTCAAGGCGAACCTCTAGTGGTGAAGGGCGCGGCCGCGCTTCGAGCGAGGGAGAGGGCGCGGCCGCGTGCCGCCCGCTGCCCCGGAGGCCCCCGCGGAGCAGGAGGCCCCGCCCGAGGAGGGCGAGGCCAAGGATGCGCCTCCGGAGCGCCCCTCGCCCCGCTCGGGTTCGGCCGCCTTCCATCCGAGCGTTTTCTTTGGGTGGAGGGCAAAGGGTGGAATCTGAAATGCCGTGTCGATTTGTGTTCGAGATGGAACCTGCAAGAGGTGAATCAACCACAAGATGGGTTGATGTTCGAGGTGCAACAAAGAAAAGCCCGTGTGGAGTTCACCCTGAGCCCTCCACCCTTAGAAAATGCTCAGTCCATGCAGGCGCTGTCGCCACCGCCACCGCTGCCCTCGTCGTCGGCGTCGTTTTCGTTGTCGTCGTCGTTGTCGTCGTCATCGTCGTCGTCGTCGTCGTCGTCGTCGTCGTCGTTGGTTGTTACCCTCCCTCTCTCTCTCTCTCTCTTTATCCTTTTCTCTTTCTCTCTGTCCGCATACCCCCGACGTCGCGATTTTCTCACACCGCGGACCCCCAGAAGGCCAGACCACTTCCCTGGGACCGGCTCTTCATCCCGAGTCGTTCTTCGACTCGCTCGGGGCCTGGTCGCCCGGGGCCCAGCAAGGGCCCCGAGAGACCGAACACTGCCAAGATTCACGTGTCAGGATTTTTTCATGACCCGAGTCGGCTGTTTGTTTAGAGTCCAGCGATCACCATTGGCTATCGGGCCCCCCCCCCGGGGTCATCGGCTGCCCCCCCCCTGCCCCCTTAGGACAACCCGACCTTGTCGGTTGCGAGCAGGTCCGAAGGGGTACGCAGAACTGGTGCGCGCGGGCATGTGTGGGGCCGCCCAGAGCGAAAAGGTTAGGGTATCGGCAGTCCCCCCCCACCCCCCCTCCACCAGATAACCCAGGGTAGATTTAGGCCTCCCAGATGAGGTCGAAGCAGACGGGGTCGGAGGATCGCGCCGCAGCACCGACACAGCTCGATGTGGAGCCCGAGTTTCTCCATGTCGACCTCGCCGATGCATCGGCGATGTATCGCCGCGTGTCCAAGAGGGGGGGTGACGACTAGGGGGGGGATCTCATGGCGGGTTTCATGGGATCTCCCCTGATTCCCAGGCGCTCCTCTGATCTCATTACGTCCCCGGCACCATCCTGGCCCGCGCACGTGCCGCTGGCCATGGTCTGCGCCCCCTCTCTTGGGCTCCCCTCTTCTGCTGGACGCCTCCGATGGCAGCAAGGATGCGCGCTAAGGATCTCCGGGGCCTCTTTTCTCCCCTTCCCCAGCGTGAGACTATGTTGCATGTTTGTCGGCGCCGAGGCGCCACCGCCCCGCCCCTCGTAGGGCCGTCCCGCGTGACGTGGGGGGCGCAGTGTCAGTGTCAGTAGAAGGCCATGCTAGGGGGCCACATGCGAACCCCTCCCTCCCCCTCGGAAATCGTGGGCGGCAGGGGCAGGGCTCACACGTGACCCCCTAGCATGCCGACACCTCTCGAGCGGGGCGCGGCCAGGAGCCTCGGAGGCCTCTGCGCCCCTGGCAGCCCGACCCCCTGCCCCCCCCCTCGCCGCGCGGGCGCCCTGCGCCCTCCGCCCTGGCGCGGCCCGGCTCGGCCCTGCTCTCCTCGGCCTTCGCCGCCCGCGGGCTCCTCTGGACCTCCTCCTGTATCCTACTTCGTTGGGCATTGCCGATTGCCGAGAGTTGAAGAGGCCGCATTCCGCTGCCATTTAGGCCCTTTCAGTTTCGCGCTGAACAGGGGGCCTCCGCTGGTGCATGCCGTGGGGGCTGGACGCCTTGGCGCGCGACCTGACGCAGGCCGCCACCACAGCGCTGGTGGTGCGGTGGGGCGTCCCGTCGTGCCCCGATTGTGTCTGCTCGCCCACGCTGACGTGCCCGCCGCTGACCTGCTCGTGCCCTGGCGGCGAGGGTCTTCTCAACCCCACTGCCGCGGAGGGGTACTCGGGAGCAGTGCTGGCGGTGGTCGCCGGCACCTGCCTCCTCCTGGGGGCGGCCGCAGGCGCCGCGGGCGTCCTCTGGGCGGTGCACCCCCGGGCAGCACCGTGTGCCACCGCGCCGGGCCCAGTGGCGGCGCCTGGGACGCCCACCTCAGCGCTGGCTGCACCAGCTGAGGCAAAGGCGCTCGAGGACGTGCAGACGGTGGCCGCGGCGCAGGCGAGAGCCTTCCGGCGGCTGCGAGCGGCTGCGCAGTGATGGCGGCGGCATTCGCTGCAGGGGGCTTCTGCCTCACGAAGTACAACGTCGGCGGGGTCGAGGTCTATCACGAGCGGGTGATCCTCTACGGGACGGGCTACGTGCTGACGCCCGACATGGACGACTACGGCCCTGAGGTCTCATCCGGCTAAAATATAGCTGTCTTTCGCTACGGCTAAGAAAAAGCTGCCACAGCTATTTTTTAGCTGTGTACTTACATATGCTATGTAAAGCAGCATTTACACATATATACACATATATTCGACAGACAACTTAATACCTAACGAATTTGTGCATATGATATATTGCAACAGATGAAATTCATCAAAGAATACCATCCCTCTCTCTCACACACGTAAATATGAATGCATATACACACTACACACACGCACCTGCTGCAGCATGCAGTTTTTGAAAGCGAGCCGACCTCCATCCAGATATATGTTGGGTCCTGGTCTCCACGGGGCGTGCCCAGAGAGGGGAATGCGAGCGGTGCTTGGAGCGATGGCTAAGTGGCGGTGCGTTTGGCGCCGCCACTGGGCCACCCGCGGGCCGTTTGCAATTTCGTCTCTGGGTTGCCTCGGAGTGGAGCCCAGGGGGGCGTCTAGGTGCACAGAGTCTTGGGTGGGAGTCTAGGGATCAGGAGTCTTGGGCGGGAGTCTAGGGACCAGGAGTCTTGGGCGGGAGTCTAGGGACCAGGAGTCTAGGGCGGGCGTCTAGGCACAGGGAGTCTGTGTGGGTAGTCTAGGGCGGGAGTCTAGGGCTAGGGGTCTAGGGCGGGCGTCTAGGGACAATGCGTCAGTCTAGGGCAGGTGGTCTAGTTGAATAGCCTATGGCGTTGATGTCTATGAGGACGCCTGTCCGATCACACTGTGTATCATGCCGCAGTTCTGGGTCAAGGCATGGCCTCTGGAGGGAAGAGGTCGGCGTCGTCCGCCTCCCGCGACGGCCTCCAGGCCATCGCCAAGCGCCACATCACAGTTCCAGATGGTGTGAACGGTGTCAAGTACACCACGAAGTTGGATGGCCCGCTCAACAGCACAGCGATCACCGCTGTGAGAGACATGCTCATCGAGATCCGAGCGTTGTCGCCGCATGGCGGCATCCAGCAGTCCATGCTCGCAGAGGCGCTCGCAGCGCACGGCAAGTCAATGGAGAGAGAGTGGCACCTCGGTCCCGAGGTGATGGCATGGGCAGAAGACGTTGCCAGGAGCATCCGTGCGATGTTGCGGCACGTTGCGACCGCGACGTGCAGGCCAGACCGGGTGCCGAGCTGGGCCGCCGTCTTCGTTGAGGACATGGGCCTTCCAACCCATCATCGCACCATCCTCACACCCCCGTCTCCACGCCTCCCCCGCACAGTGGGGGGGCGAGGAGGACGAGGACGATGGTGCTGATGATGATGATGATGATGATGACAGTGATGATGATGCTGATGATGTTGGTTTTGATGTTGATGATGATGCTGATGATGATGATGATGCTGATGCTGATGATGATGGTGGTTATGCCGATGGTGGTGATGGCGATGGTGATTGTGATGATGATGATGATGATGAGGATGGTGTTGATGATGGTGACGATGATGCTGGTGGTAACGGTGATGATGGTGCTGGTGACGATGTTGATGCATGTCGAGCCCGATCCAGCAGGACTCGGATGGTGCTGCTGTGGGGGACGGTCGCGATGACGAACGTGATGTGGTGGGCGGCGGTGCTGCGACGGACCAGCGGGTTGAAACGCTGGACGGTCCGAACTCCAGGTATCAATGCAGTGCCAACGGGGTGTCAATGCATGCGTTGACACCCCGTTGACGCTGCGTTGACGGTTGGCGCTGCGTGTGCTGGCACCCGTCACTTCCCTCACTGATTCAATCTCGCACGCCTCGTCATTGTGTCTCGCGTGTCGTGCCGATCTATCCATCCCTCTGTAGATACGTGCATATCTTGAGGTCATGTAGCACTCATGTCTTTCATAGTCCTGTATATACACCTGTCTCCCTCCCCATATCTTTCAACATGGTTGTGCACATGCGCATATACGTGTGAAGAAATACATGCGTGGTCACTCCCATCCTGCATTCCGCCACCTCGATAGGACTCGACTGCCGACAAGACGTGGACGTACGGCATTGCCGCGGACATGCAGGTGGACGCACTCATCCAAAGCAACCGATCCAGCTCATCATCCTCCTGCTCCTCCTGCTCATCGTTCGCTCCATTCGTTGCTCTGCCAATCGTATCCTTCATCGTTCAGTCCCGTCCCATGGATCACCTGGTGGTCAACACCGCGCCCGCATCACCCTCTGCCGTAATCCTCCTGTCGTGATCGGCATGCCTCCTTTTCGTAATGACCCTCCTCGTCGGCAGACCCACCTATCGCACCCGTTTCGACCTCCATTCCTAATCGCTCTCCTTCTCGTCGCCTTCCTCCCCTCAACGCCCGTATCACTATATTCATTGCCTCCGCCTCGACTTGTCGTCGTCATCGCCATCTCCTCCGCCGTTCCCGCCTGTTTGCGGCTCTCGGTAGGTGGCGTGGCGCACGCGCAGGACGAAGCCGGACGGGCGCGTGGAGTACGCCAAGGCCATGACGGATGCCGACGGCGTCGGGCACACTGTCGCGAAGTGGTCCGACGGTGACGTGTGGAGGGTGCCCGACGACCTCGGGCTGAACGACGGGCCTAAGCAGAGGTCCGAGGACGGCGTCATCTGGGAGGGCCACGCGCCAGACGACGCGAACTACAGGATCGTGCTGAAGAAGGTGAACAAAGTCAGCACCAGCTGGCTGGTCTTGTGGCATCCGCGGGCTGGTCAACGCGACGGGCAGAAGTGCCAGCTCATGGGGTGCGCGTCCGAGGAGGCGGCGAAGGTGTGGATGATCAGCGCTGCCAAG